CAATGTTTGGACACACGATGAAGCGCCTTCTACACGAAAGGATATACTCATAATCTACAGGCTGAATGTAAGGTAAACCTTAGAAGTGACAGTTCACACTAAGGACCGGAAAACCTCCAACCGATGCAGAATCGAACTATTGTGGCAAGTAGCTGCGTGATCCTCTCATTGCTATGCGCAGCAGGGGGCCTTTTCTTTTGACTCATCTAACTGCAAGAGGTAAATTCCCATGTTATAGCTTTTTTTGTGACATTATATGAAATATGTTGTATGTGGGACATAACTAACTACTGCGGGCATATTTTAGCCATGTGCGATATTGGCTGGACAAACCTTCCTGAAGTTATTGCTCGGAATCCTCGAGTGACGACCGTCAATCCGGGTATGGAGATTGATCTGACAGGCCAAGTTGTGTCTGGAGGCATAGCTGATGATATTACCAGCGGTAAGTTGATTCTTAACTGTTTTTGTTTAACCTTTTAGTCACAAGAGTGAAACTATAATACTTTACGCAGCATCCTGTTATATCAGTTATCTAGAACAACCCGCGCCATACTCTGTCACTCATAGGGAACCTGTTTGCTTCGGGAGGCCAGTATATCGATGTGTGGCCATTCCCCCTTCTGCCTTTTTCGCTGTGGGGAGCTAAATGCAGAGGCTGTGATAGACGCCTATATCTCATTTAGCTGGACTTGCAGTGATGCGCAAAAGTCGTCGTTTACACCACTAACTTAAATTAAATGAAGGATGGCCGTTGGCGAGCATACATAAGATTTCGATAAATTCTCATCGGGTCAGTACACCTATCTGGGAACAGAGTATAACATGTTCGTCTTTTCATAGAAGTGAATCGCGGGAATAGGGAGCGGGGAGGGGTCGGGGTTGGTAAGCGAAGGCTGGTTACGCGACAGGGAGGGTTTGGTGAAGTCGGTCTAGCGAGGGGCGGGAAGAGGAAGAGAGAGCCCAGCAGAATGCATGCTGTTAAGCTACGGTTGACAATGCCAGGCGCAGAGTTTGCTGGGGGTTCTTTTGTGCACACAAGACCGGCTTCCTCAACCTGATAGCGGTCGCTTCTGCTGTTGCTATCAGATGATGATGAACTACCTTAAACTTCATCCGGAGAAACATACTTTATATAAGATTCATCGCATTTCTGAAAATTGATTGCGGTTAGGAACATTAATAAGATGAGGTTGTACTATCAATTTGTATGCAACATCCTTTCAACCTCTTTCAGTTACGCCAGGATTCCTGCTTTTGAATGAACAATTTCCTGCTGCTTGTTAAATTAATCATGTTAAATATTTCTTACTGATGTATTGATTTTCAATACTCTTTAAAATTTTAATTTTCTTTTCGGGAAGCATGCATAAAATATACTCTCCTGCAGTAATTTAGTAGCCAATCACGTTTTTTTTCAAATGTGTTATTCGAACGAGAGTAATTTCTGCTTTTTCAGAAAAAAACAGTATTTAAATCCCTAAGTACTTTTGAATTTGAGCGGTGTTTGCGCTCCCGTTTAGGATCTTCAAACAACACGTACATTTTCTATCTAAGGAAGCTCATACATTTGTCAATCCTTTTGGGAAGGCGCGCGTCGGAATTGTGCAATGCAAGTTGAGCATGTAGCATATTTAAAAGGGAGCATTATTATACAGACAGAAAAAAATCAATGTTAAGAGGCGGTCCACGGTCTTGAAATCCCTACAATCCTTAACCTTTTTAACAAAAGAAAGTACCCTATCTTCTTTTGAAGACGAACTTTACCATAAAATCTAGACAAAGAAGGAAAGTCTGTGTAAGCTTCCTATTTGGAATTTTAAGAACATCGAAAATGAGTGAAAAAGTGCACTATTTAAGTGGCCTTTTTAATTAATATTATTATCGCATGTGGACGGAAAGATGAGGGACCAAAATGCGCCATCCATGTGTGCCCAAATTATATGCGGTTTATGTTTTTATGATATTTAATATTATAGCCCTATCGGCTTGGTCCTCCATAATGAAAATCTCATTTCGGAATTTGGTTAACGTTTCATAATTGAGTTTATCCACAGTACACTTCAACAATAACCCCGTCGGTTAAGTGTGCATGTAACGGTGGACAAATTAGATTCAGGGATGTTAGCTTGTAAGGTACAAGTTGGTAAACCTCTCGGTTCATAGTCACTGACA